TGTGATAAATTTTGATGTGATTTGAATGAGACAAAATACAACTCCATGATTTTGATGAGGAAATAACATTATAAATAGATCAGAAAATAGCAACTGAGCTGGAGGACAAGTCAGAATTCTGTGGTTGAATTAACTGTCAGATTGTTGATCTAGTTAATGGTTAATATATCTGCACTGGGTATGTCCACATGAAACAAAAACTGGCACAAAGTTAAATTTTGGGGGTTGACATGAAAGCTTTATACTTACATACATGCATACAATAATAAACAATAGTGTAGCATGAAATGGGGGCGAGAGATTGGAAGAAGTAGATAAGCAAACTGTCAGATCTGGGAATCTCACAACGCTCAGGTAAACCACACAGGCCCTGGTATTTGTGCTGTTTAGACAATTTAGCTACCATGCAGCAAGACTTTAAGCCTATAGACTGACTGTGCAAGTTTGTGGAGCCATTTTTTAAATAAATAAAGTAGTTCAACGTTAGACCCCTGCCCATCACATCACATTTTAGAACATGAACACAACATGGTGTTAACATCATATGATGTTATGAAATTCTGAAGCCAAAAAGGGTGATGTAATGTTTGTCTACTTTTAGATTTTGAATTGTTATGTGCAGGAAAAAATAAAACAGGAGTTGAAAACTTCAGGCAAATGAGTCCTTACTGCTGTAAAGGATTTTGTAAGAACTTTTTCCCATTCAAGATAATATTTTAATTTTAACTGTATTATTGCTAAAACAAAGGAGGACAGAGCTATGCCAGTTCCTAACCTAAAACATAAATAAAGGAATAATTTTGACGAGAAAAAATCACACTCACAAAATGTCACTCTCACATTATGTAACTTTTCTGATGGAGGGTCCGTCAAATGCTTTTCTTCATGGAAATGTTATTGCTTTGTCCAGGATGTTTCACAGTATGGTATTAAACCTTTCTATCTTCATGGAGACCAAACCAGATGAAGTTACAGGTCAGATCTGTGGAGAGGCAACCCTGCTCGCAGTCAGAACACCTGTTTTTCTATTTATTTTTGAGCAATAAAACCACCTGTAATTAAACAAATGTAAGGCAGAGCTGCTTAATGCTATATTATGGAACATTCTAAGCAGAGCAATGGCATATCCATAGAAACAAGCAGGTGACAGGCCCCCAAAAAAGTAACACAGTGCACCTTTAATGTTAAGACATTTTGGAAGTTAAAGTCCTGTGTTACAGTTTTGACCCAAAGCGACTGACGTCATGCACAAGGTGACATAGCCCTATTATTCCATCTCTGTGGTTAACTGTGTGTAACTTGGTTAATATATGACCTAAAATTAAACCTCGGACTTTTCATGAAAGTGTATCTGTGTGTAAGGCACAGTGATGGTGAGTCATTGATCTTAATAAAGGACTTCCTGTTTGAGCGAGATGAGTAAAAAGTACTTTTACACTTCGATAGAAAACCACTACAGTTAGATAAAAATGTTCAGCAAACTGTAAATGTAAATATTCCCAAAAACTCACAAAAAAAATTAACAGTGTGATTTTAAGTGTGCTACATGCATTAAAATAGATACATAGATAAACAGATACAATATATTCAATATATATATTTTTTTAATTACAAGAATTTGGTTGAATATAGTATAACACGATTATAGTATACACAGTTGGTCGAACAGATAGCCCCTAAAGCTACACCACAGATACAAAGCACTTTCATGTTCATGTTCGTGACAACTCACTTATCATTATCTGGAACCCAATTTTTACCTTTCTGAAAACAAAACATTTAAGAACGAACGGCAGTAGTGCATTATTTTAATCTTTAAAAAAAACAAAAAAACAAAAAAAAACAACTGTTAAAATAATAATGAACAATTACACTTAGAAATCCTGCTTTTTAAAATTTTTTTATTTTATAAATGATGATTTTGTCTTCTATTCATTTCCATGACCGTGATGGTGACAATCCTCAGACCAATTTTACGCTTTTTCCAACATGTATGAATTCAAACTAACAACTTCCTTTAATAGAGACAACCATACATCACACAGTAGCATCACTGGCTTCCTGTTTGCAAAAACACCTAAATATACTGTTGAGTGTGAAGTCAGAGTTTAGTAAACACAGAAGAGCACGGAATTTCCTGTGACAGTAAAATTGTATATATATTGGCTAAAAATGAGTTAACTTCTTTAATCGGAAGAGAACAGACGTCTGCTCCTTTGAACAGTCTGACCTTAGAGCAGGTGAGAGGCAGGTGAGAGGCAGGTGAGAGGCAGGTGAAGAAGAGACGCTGTGAAGTATGATGCACCCCAGGGTTTGACCTACAACCTACCACCTCTTGACCTCTCTCCAGCTTTGATGTCAGTCCAAGGGAAAAGACACACTGTCCCCCTCTAAAATGTGAACAGAGAAAGATTAAACATTATTCAGAAATTAAATCTAGTTTGTTGGCAATATCTGATGTCAGGTGGATAGTTGTAGGCGAGGGGGCATGTACACTTTAGTCATTTTATATTTGCTGTTTGCTAATCCAGCCACAAGGGGTCACAAGCCAATATTGTGAAAGATCCAAAGCTCTTCTGTACACTCTCACTCTGTACAAGATCAAATAAAAAAGGACCATTTTATGTTTGTATTTTGTAATGTGTCACAGATTATACAATGATTTGTGAGATTGACCAGCTTGTCACAGGACATTGCTTTCTGTAGCTTACAAGGGAACTACAAACAAAACTGCAGTTTGTTTATTTATTTGTATGGATGGTCCATTAGCTCAAAGTTTGGTGCACTGTGTAACTTTTCTGGTAGAGGGTCCACCACTTGCTTTACTCCGTGTGGTATTTCCTGAAAAGGTATACAGTACAGAATGGCATTTAATTTAACTATCTCCATGGAGACAAGCAGTCCACATCACCAGGCCAATTTACAGGTCAGATTTAAGGAGAACTCAACCTGCTTGTAGTAATAACACATGTTTTTGAGGTAGTTTTGAGAAATAAGAACACATGTAAAGTAATAAAAACTGTGGCACATCCAAAACAAAGCAATAACATCACAATGGAGACAAGCAGATGGCGGACCCTCAACCGGAAAAGTTACACAGTGCACCTTAAAGTCTTTGAGAGTTCATCACATTCACAGCAAATAACACAGATCACTGAATTACAAACACAAGAATCTGATGATGTAATAATAATGATATGTAGATGCATTTTCCAAGATGATGCATGTTGTCTTATATGGATCTTATTCATACTGCTCTTCACACACAGACCATCCACCATTATACATTCACTCCACATATGCAGAATTTGTCACAAGTTTAATCATTTCCTGTTTTGAGCAACACAACCACAATTACACATCACACTCTGACCCACAATTTTTGCATTTGTATTTTAGTCTTTCAGTTCACACTCACTTGTTATAAAGAAATACTGTTGTTTCCTTACCTCTTAAAGGGCCCATATTACAATATTTTCTGATCTACATTATAATGTTGTTTCCTCATCGCAAACATACCTGGAGATCAGTTCTTCTCTCAAGCCGAAAACACTCTACGTTCCACCTTGTGATGTCATGCGGTGATACAGGGACTGCTCCATTGTGTTTTTAAACTCCATACATCTTCATTAGAATTATTTGAATGATTTCAGCCCTGGAATTCCCCATCTCTACTGAAATGAAGGCAAAGGATGGCTGCTCACTTGAAACTACACGACATCACAAAGTGGAATAGAGCATTTGGAGCTTTAGAGATGTAGACAGACTAATAATAAAGGGGTGCTCAAGCATGTGTGACTGAAACAACTCCAGGTATGCTTTTTATGAGGTAACAAGGTTATAACATGGCATAAAGCTCACAAGAATCAATTTAGCATAATGTAGCATGTCCTTAACATTGCAGATTTCTGTTTGTACCTGGCTGTAAGGTTGCTATTTTTGCCCCAAATATCCTTAAGTCTATATGTCTGACAGATGGCATGTCAGCATTGTTCTAAGTCCCATCATTGCAAAAGCAGCTTGAGATGAAAAAGAGACTGCATGGGGGTAGTATATGCTGCGATATTATTACAGATTTTATTTTTACAAGCTGTGCACGATTCATTCGTAAGTCAGGACTCAGGAGAGGCACGAGCTGCAGTTCAAGGTGACTTTGGTCTCCACATGAAACAGAGCACAGTAAGTGATTTGTCATAGATCTGTCACTATTGCTTATTGTTTTGTTGATTTGAAGATTCCCATGATAGGCACCAAGGAAATGTGCACCTTGCATTCTATTTGTTTTACTTTTTTTGTGGCCTCATAAATATTTATTATATTGTTTACTGAAGTGGGATTTTCCATATTAAAGGTGTACTATGTAACTTTTGCCAAGATGTCTGTTGTTTACTTGTTTCTATGAATATGTCATTCCTCTGCCCGGAACGTTCCACATTAAACAGCTCTACCTTACATTTATTCAATTACAGGTGGTTTTATTGTGCAAAAATACCTAGAAAAACAGGCATTCTGACTGTGACTGGGTTGCTTCTCCACAGATCTGACATGTAACTTGGTCTTATTTGGTCTTATTTAGTCATTTGGGCTCCATGATGATTAGAAAGGTTTAATGCCAAACTGTGGAACATTTCAAACAAAGCAATAAAATTAACATCTCCATGAAGAAAATAATTTGAAGGACCCTCCATTAGAAAAGTTATACAATGCACCTTTAAATCATCATCTGGCTCATAATGACAGTGCCTCCTTTAAAATAGGTGATGTGCTTGTTTTATATTAATTGAATTATTTGGGAGCAAGGTAACAAATGTACGCCTCAAATATTACGGGAATGGAAAATGTCCTGACAGGCATGTTTACGCAGGTCTTCATCACTAATGCAATACTCATCCTCATCCGTTAGGTGGCCCCAGTGACACGTAACTGTGCGTTTGACTGACCCTGATTCAGTTGTAACCTTCTGCTCTGCTTAATTAAACAAGTTGAGCTCAAATAGCAGAAAGACGAAAATGGGATTTCCTTAATTTTGTCATTTATATCTCAATGTAAAGAAGCGAGTGTTAGATGTGTATTTTAAATCATGTGAAGTGTTCCTTTTCAGCTATAGGAGGACAATTAGTCGCCGACGGGTTGCGATCACATGCTTTGAGAGAGCTACCTCATTTTTCGTGAATGGGTCAACGTGAGCCGCGCGCAGTCTCCTGGCTTAGGTCACAGACGCGCTCTGGCTCTGCGCGGAGCAGGGCGAGCGGCGCTGCCACATGTGAGTGACATTTGAACCAACCACGTTTATTTTTTTCATTTCTGATATTGAGATGCTCGTTGCAGTCCCACTGTTGTGTTATTGACGGGACGGTGGATGCACTTTGCCTGGACTTTACGCAATGGAGTTCAAATGGATACGATGACTGGATTTGTTGTCATTTACTCAAGCTACACCATAAGCCTAGATATGGTGAGTAAAACGAAGATTTAACTGTGTAGCTTTGCGTGCTGGGATGATTGTAGTAATGCTTTTTATTAGTTAATACCGCCGTGCACAGGTGGAGAAACTGCATGTCCTATTTTGACATTATTTTAAACAAACACAGATATAGTCATCGTTATGTAATTTATTTCTTTGCTCCTTAGGGCCAGCAGTGACTTCGAAGAGGATCCCTGAAATCACGCACTCCGACTACTATAAAGTTCATGTCCAGCCACAACACGGAGGACTGCCAGCGTCCTGGAAATGAAGAGAGGTGTGGATTGTCTTCAACACTATGCTCACATTTTAAGAGACGATGATGGAGTGTGAACAGGCAGAGACAACAGGAGCGCGTGTCCTCCTGGTGCTGTCTCTTTGATGTGATGTGGCCCCTGTAAACTTCGCCTCCAAAGCCACTTATAATGGATGTCCAGAACTACAGCACAGTCATTGACAGCGGCTTTCTGGATGAGGCACCTCCAAGCAGAGTTTTAACAGGATGTTTTTTGTCTCTCCTCATCCTCACCACGCTGTTGGGAAATACCTTAGTCTGTGCTGCTGTTACGAAGTTTCGCCACCTTCGCACTAAAGTGACTAACTTCTTTGTGATCTCTCTGGCCGTGTCTGACCTGCTAGTGGCGATTTTGGTGATGCCCTGGAAAGCTGTGGCAGAAATTGCTGGGTTTTGGCCATTTGGCTCGTTTTGTGATACTTGGGTGGCTTTTGACATTATGTGCTCCACGGCATCCATTTTGAACTTGTGCGTGATTAGTCTTGACCGCTACTGGGCCATTTCTAGCCCTTTCCGGTACGAGAGGAAGATGACACCAAAAGTGGCCTATGTAATGATCAGCGTTGCCTGGACACTGTCTGTTCTAATTTCCTTCATCCCGGTACAACTGAACTGGCACAAGGCCCAAACTCAATCTTACACCTCGGTTTCTGGGTCCACTCTGGGATCAAATGGTACTTCTTCTTTCCAAGCCCCAGAAAACTGTGACTCGAGCTTAAACAGGACCTACGCCATCTCCACCTCACTCATTAGTTTTTACATTCCTGTCATAATCATGATTATCACATACACTCAAATCTACCGCATTGCACACAGGCAGATTCGAAGGATTTCTGCACTGGAGAGAGCCGCCGAAAGTGCCAAAAACAGGCACGACAGCATGGGCCGAGGTTCAAGTATCACAGAGTCTGAGAGCTCCTTTAAAGTGACTTTTAAGAAAGAGACCAAGGTGCTGAAGACACTGTCTGTTATCATGGGAGTGTTTGTGTGCTGTTGGCTGCCATTCTTCATCCTCAACTGCATGGTTCCATTCTGTGAGAAGTCCAGTGAAGGAGCAGAGGCGTTCCCCTGCATCAGCCCCACCACCTTTGATGTGTTTGTGTGGTTTGGCTGGGCAAACTCCTCCCTCAATCCCATCATTTATGCCTTTAATGCTGACTTCCGCAAGGCCTTTGCCATACTGCTGGGCTGCCACAAACTCCATCCAGGAGCAAACAACATGGAGTCAGTCAGCCTGAACAAGAAGTGACTCAGACATTCCTGACTCATCCCTGAGAAGAGTCCAAGCTCCTGCGGCTGCTCTGGCTCTCCCTAAACAGGGCCAGTCCTTTCCTTTCCCCACATTGTATCAGGGGAGGCAGCCTGCATGCACTGTGAGGAAGCTATCCCCACACAAGTCCCCACAAGCTGAGGACTCCCCTCTGAGTGAAACGAGGGTCTGGAGACGTAGTTATATTTTTTCCCCTGAAATCAGGAGGAGCACAGCCTGGGAGGGACAGTCCTCTGAATGGGCAGCCTGATGCTACCAGACGCTGCTCTCTTTAGTAGCATCACACACATACACACAGCACACACAAACACACACACTCTGTCAAAACAAGATCCTCCAGTCGCAGCAGCTTCAGTGCAACAACACACCTGCAAATAGTAACATTACTCATTGTTTCACTTCTTGAGGTCTTCAAGACAAGCTCTAGCATCAGCAGACATCATGTTTGTACAGAGCTAACATGCTTTGGGGGCTGTAGTCTTGTCCTGTCAGAGAAGTCAAATACATGTCAGACGATCATAACTTCAGGTCCAGTCAACAGACACCTGCTGAATAATTCCTATGCTGCAGCCTCAGAGTGGTTTTACGGATGTGTCTCTCCTTACTGTTGTATTTTTCATAAACAGCCACTGATGATCTCTTTTAACAGACTCAAAGGTTTGACTTGTGTTGTCTTGCTTGGACTGTTGTGCTTCTAAAACAAAGCTTTAATTTATTAACTTATGTTAGACCATCTGTTTACTAATTAAAGTAAATAATGAAAACATTTCACTTTGCGGGTCTTTTGTTTTCCTTCTCACCAACAATGTTTATGTTTAAAACTATATGACTAACTGGACATTTTTCATGGTCTACTGCATCTACAGCCCTGTTTTATATATGAATACTATACCATTGGATCTTTGTGGTGCATCATGTTCATTTCATTATATAAGTAATTCAAAACCATATAACCTGATATTACAGTAATCATCTTTTGTGCCTAAACACTGTATATGTCAGTGTATGTTACTAAGACTTTTTTCTGACTAATCTGTCCATAATTGCTGCTTTAATGAATGAATGAATTAATTAATTTATTTATTTATTCACTTTTTAACCACAAATGAAAATTAGACAGACTCCTGTCAACATTTTTATGGTTTCTTTTGATTTATGAGTCGTGAACTATCTGAAGAGCTAACAATTAATGACAGTGAATTGTTGTTACAAAGTCTGTCCTTTATAATTGGCTAGTTTTGATTCTGTACCACGCATAAGGCTCATGGTTGTGTGGATCAGCTCTTTAATTCATTAAAGCTCCTATATTATGCAAAATTTACTCTTGAGCTTTAAGCCATTTTATAATGTTGTTGCTTCATCAAAAACATATGCAGAGTTGAGTTTTGTGTGTGTTTTCAAACAAGTTTGAGTTACAATGCATTATTAGTCTGTCAACATCTCCAAAGCTCAGAATGCTGTGTACTGCTTTGTGATGTCATGTGATGGAAGTTAACAGCTACCTTTTACCTTTTGTTAAGAACAAATGGGCAAATCCAGAGATGAAATGATCCAAATGATTCTAGTGAATGTGTATCAAGTTTAAAAACACAGTGGAGCACTTCTGTATTACTACATCACAAGATGGAACAGAATGTTTTCAGTTTGAGAGAAGCATAACTATGCAGGGTCTGTGTTTTAAACGTGTGAATGAAACAAAACACAACTCCAGGTATGTTTTTGATGAGGAAACAATTTTATAACACAAAACAACGTAATACGTGCCCTTTAAGTGATTTTGAAGCTAATCAGTATACTAAATAATTCAAATATTCCACTTTCTTGGTGGTTCGTGGCTTGTTTCTGCTCTCGCCAACATTACTGCGGTTACCCTGTGGGCTTAGCTGTGGTTTGCAGCAAATGTACCCCAAAAACGCTTGCTAAAACATTCACAGTGACTCTAATGTCCTTAACTCCAGCTCTGAGTGCAAATGTTACTGTACAGAGCGTTACATTTCACAAACTCAGCAAGTCTCCTTACACTTTACCTGTGTTTTTTCAGGTCAAATCACAAAAGCGGCCTCGTATTACAGCTCCGGATGGGGTTTGGTGTCAGTGGTGTCCATTCAGGATGGCACAGTATGTTTGTTACATTCCAAATTAGCAAAGTACAGAGAGGGGGAGAGAGAGGGAGACAGAGAGGATGGAGAGAAAGCAAGAGAGGGAAAATGGCGACTGTACTATGGCTGCAACGATTTATCGACTAATCGTTACAGGTCAACAATAAAAAAAAATCTTTGTAAGTGTATTTAGGTAATTGTCATTGTTATCTGGACTGTACAGACTCTAAAATGCATATGCAAAGAGGTTTTTATAAGACATATTAAACAGATGCATTATAAAAATCTAAATAACAAAAAAACAGAAATAGAAATAATTGTTTGACTAGTCAACTAATTTAATAATAATAATAAAAAAATGGCCCAGTGTTAATTAAGTTAGTTTAGTTTATTTGACATTTGTAGTTAAAAATGACATTGGAAAAACATGTCCAAAAAGCTCAAAGTGCACCAAAAGACATTAAAGGGCCCATATTACTACATTTTCTGATCTATGTTGTAATGTTGTTTCCTCATTACAAGCAGACCTGAACTTGTGTTTTGTTTCATTCACAAATGTTTAACACAGAAATCCTGCATATTTAGGCTGAGTTCTTCTCTCAAACGGTAAACGCTCTGTTCCACTTTGCGATGTCATCTTTTAATACAGGAAGTAAAGTAAAAAGTAGCTGTTAGCTTGGAAACTATTACTACATAATATCACAAGGTGGAACAGAGCACTTGGAGCTTTGGAAATTAAACTAATAAACCAGGATTACAAACGAGAAACAAAACACACTCCACGTATGTCTGTGATGAGGAAACAGTATTATAACATGACTTAAAGCTCACAAGAGTAAATTTTTGCGTAAAGTAAGATATATATATTAAGGTGATATGCTAGTTGACTTTGCTGTACTACATAATGAGGTCAGGTTGAGGTCAATGACAGCCAGTGTGTTTTGAGGGGAATCCACACACAAACTGGGCAGGGCCATGCTGTGAAATGGAAATTAAGATAACAGATAAGGACACAGAGAGAGGGGGTTAGGTCAGAGTTGAGTGCTTGGATGAACTGTGAAGAATGTTTACAACTGTCTGTGTGAGCAATAAATATTTATGCTGCCTTGATTTTCCATTGTGCTCTAAGTTTACCTTGTCTTCTGAAACTTTACTCAAGAAGCACCGTTGTCCTGCTGCACAAACTTCTTTTCAGAAACACTAATGACGCTGACAGCTCTATAAATAGGGGTCAAAATGACAAAATGACTGTTATTTGTTTGTAATTTTTAAGGGGGCTGAACAGTTTTGTCTTTAATTAAATCTCCTATATTGTGCAAATTTGACTCTTGTGCGCCATAAAGCCCTGTTATAATGTTACCTCATTACAAACATACCTGGAGTTGTTTTTGTTATTCACACAAGTTTGAGTGTCCTTCACTATTAGTCTCTTCTCTATTAGTCTCTATCTCCAAAGGTCAAAATGCTCTGCTCCACCTTGTGATGTTATGAAGTTTTCAAATTAACAACTCTCTTTTACCTTTAGTTCAGTAGAGATTGGCAATTCCAGGGCTGAAATTAACCACATGATTTCAATGAAGGCATATGAAGTTTAAAAGTACAATCGAGCACTTCCTGTACTACCACATGACATCACAATTGGAACTGATTTTTTTTTCTTTTTGAGGGAAGAACTCAGCCTAAATATGCAGGGATTGTATGTTAAACATGTACGAATGAAAACTCCAGGTATGTTTGTGATGAGGAAACATTATAACATAGATCAGTAAATAGTGTAAGATGGGCCCTTTAATATACATACATTTATCTATTGTAATGATATGTAAAATATTATTTAATATCAGTTTTTTATTTTGTTTGATAATATTAAGTAATGTCTATACTGTCAGATTCAATCACAGTTAGCATTCAGTAAAATGTGTTACAATAAAACAGATGTGAGAGAGAATGTTTGCCTAAGCCTATGGATTGTTCATGAGCATTATTTGAGTCTACATGAAACAGAAATTCTCTTTTAAGAACAGTTTTTACACTTTAAACTGTTTGTCTGTTTTTGGTTTTAATGGGTGACAGTAGCTCAATTGGTAGAACATTTGTCCACTAATGTGAAGGTTGGTGGTTTGAATCTGGCTCTTGACATAAACACTGTTGGTTGAGTGATCAGATCCATTGACCCACAGGTTGGCTGGTCTGATTCCAACTCCCACAGATGAATGCTGTTGGTGTGTGAATGTGTGTGTGAATGGGTGAGTGGCGCCCCGATGTAAAGTGCTTTGAGTGCCTACCTTGAATGTGGAAAAGTGTTATATAAAAATTTGATTGACTACATACTATATATATATATATATATATATATATATATATATATATATATATATATATATATATATATATATATATATATATATATATATATATATAAGCTCCAAATGCATCTGAACATCTGAAGAGAGAAAATCTAATAATATTATATTATTATTCAACTTCATTAGATGATCTCGAATTATACCTACAGGGCCCAATTACTGTGTATCATCAGATTTCACAGTGGCCTTGTTCAGCTCTCAACCTTTATTGTTCAATGTGAATAAACCTAAAGACCTCTGACTCTGCGATGCTTTCACATGATCAAATTTTACCCCTGCAGCACTCCTCTGTGTCCCACAAAAACATGCCAGTCAGAAAAGTAGCTTTCAATTGTTAGATTTACTTCTTTACTTAAAACTAAATTATTACTAAAAGAAAATGAGATTCATTATATCAATTCAAAGCAAATATACTGTATATTTTCATATTATACTGTGTTTTTTAGTTTTTCATTTATTTCAGCAATAAAAAATAACATTTTCCATAATACATTTCACCCTATATGTACTATATCTAATGCACACAATTACATTTTATAGTTTAATTATTGTTATATTGTATTTATTTATTATTTTATTTGCAGGTATGCTGAACCTTAATTCATTTTCTACAATAAGCAAATGTAATGGTTAAGTTAATTTAAGTGTTCCTCTCTGCGATGAATATATAGAGCTATGTTCATATCCTCTTATCTGTTATGTTAAAACCGGATATCTAAAAATTGCTATGACAATTCTGCTGTGACAAAAAAAGAGAAATTTTGGTTCTGGTTTAGTGGTTGAACCTTGTGCATTGTTGAAAAGGATTCATACTTTTAATCTTATCATGGTTGTCAGTGACTGGTTTTATGCCATTGACCTCTGGATCTCAAACTCCCTGAGTGCCTTTCACACTGCACTACCCCACATAAATCGAATGGGTCTCATAGCCAAAACTTAACTCTTAATGTTAACATCCACATGTCTATCCAGCTTTGTGATGTATTGCTGTAATTAAGGAAGTAAAACCCCGAAACTGGAGCAGTGAATAGGCCTGAATATTAAAGATGTGAACTGTCTTGGACTCGTCTGTCTTTCCCCATCTTGCCTTTCAAATCAAGTATCTTTTCATCCTGATTGAAGTCTTGCTCCTGGGGTTGAAACTTTGACATTGCATA